CCTCCTCTGAGCAAATCTTGCCAAGGAAACCTTGTAATAGGGTTGCCATAAGTCAGAAACGACTTGGAGGCGCACAACAGCAGCAGCAACAACAACAATCACCAAACACCTAGAAAGGACAGATCAATTAGCCTAACTGAAACGCCAGCCAAAATGTACGCAAAGTATCTCCTTTGAAGACTAGAAGGTCTGGCAGAAGAGAATCAGGTACTGGCAAAACAGCAGTCCATTTTCAGAGGAGGAAAACGATTCACAACTTACAGCTATTTCACACTATTGAAATAATCTGGTAACTATCTACACAATAATAAGTGAGTTATTTTTTACTGAATTCATTGGTATAAGAAAGGGGTGGGAAATGGTGTGAAAGCCAGGAACCCATGTTCCACCCCAGCCTTCCCATGGGACATACTTTCACCCCAGTGCACTGAGATTTCCCTCCAATTTTATAAATTCAGGGCTATGTCATCCTTGAGTGAATCAATCCACCTGTAGTGTAGTCTTTTCCTTTTTCTACCACCTTCCCCTTTGCCAAACATCTACCAAAACAAACTTTGTAAATATAAAGCTGCAGTGTGGTGTATGAGAGCCAGCATGGGGTACTGGCTTGAGCATTGGACTAGGACCCTGGAGACCTGGGTTCAAATCTCCACTCAGCCATGGAAACCCAATGGGTGACCATGGCAAGTCACACTCTCTCAGAGGAAGGCAAAGGCAAACCCAATTTGAACAAATCTTGCCACGAAAGCCCCATGATGGATTTGCCTTCGGGTTCCATACACATCCTTGAATGATATATTTAATCTGCTGTTAGGAAGCCATATTTAGCACCTGTACTAAAGAAAACAAAGCATTGGCAAATGTAATACAAATTAATTGTTAAAAGAAACAAAGCAGTATATCCATTGTAATAAATCAGGATTCCCTATTTTTTGCAGCTAGCAGGAAAAGACATCTAGATGCTATTGTAGTCAATTGTGAGGGAAGCTCTGGCTGCTGATGTTACCAATTTAACATTATATGCATTTCTGAAATCTATATTGTCCTCCGATCTGTATCAATGCATTTTTAAATGTAGACTTGTAAGGAAAGGGAAACACTGTAAAATGTAATAAAGGCATATCTTTTAAAATATTTTAAGATCTGTTCTAGATGGCTTCAATATGGTCTTTTGACTAATTGAAAGAAGTATGAGAATAATTCCTACCTATATAGCTAAATAATTCCCAGCTAAATAGACTGATCCAAACCATTATGTTTTAACAAGGAATTGTGCCTCCTTAGCTGATGTACTCCATCTCTTCTTATTTTCACTGAGCATGGCCAATGATCAGGCATGATAGAGGCTAGAGTCCAACAGCAGCTGGGGCACTACATCCTCCAGAGTCCTCCTAGCTTAAAGATAATACTGCTGTACTCCTATATTACTGTCGCAGATACTCGTGGCCGTATCTGCATATATTTTATGTTGTTGTTTTAATTTGTTTGTTTTAATATTGATTTAATATTGTTTTAAGGGGAGGGAGGGAATAGGGTTTGGATATATTGTATTTTAACACTGTAAGCCACCCCGATTGTCTCAGAGGGGTGGGATATAAATAAATATTATTATTATTATTATTATTATTATTATTATTATTATTATTATTATTATTACATGTTTCTCACTTTTGCTTCAGATTCCTTGAACAGTTCTTTTCAGCCACCCTGAAGTATGACATAGTATGGATTCAGCTCAGTGTCTCAGCTGCTTTTTGGTCTTCAAAACTGCCTTATTATTCAATGTTTGTCCAGCTCTTATGCCTCATATCTTGAAAATTCTATTTTTGAAGACATAATGTGGCATAATGCTATAGGCCAGAATTAATAGAGAACCCAAATGCAACACATTAGAGCAGGGGTAGGCAACCAAAGGCCTGGGGGCTGGATGCGGCCCCCCGAGGCCTTTGGACCGGCCCCAGGCTGGTCCTGCCGCCGTCGCCACCCGCCATGGTGACATTGATTATTGTTGTTATTACTTGTTCTTGTGTTTTTCTTGGCAAAATCTCCACAGGGGTTTTGCCATGGCTTTTTTGGGGCTGAGAGAGTGTGCATGCATTTTTTTTTAATTTTTAATTTTTTTAAAAAAATAATATTTATTTATTTATTGTCTGAGGGACAGCAACCCGGCCGCCGGCTCAAAAAGGTTGCCTACCCCTGCATTAGAGGATGTTGGCACTAAAAGATGTTGTGGAAATGCAACTCTGCTCATCCTCCTCTACTGCACATTTTGGCCAGAGTGCATGGGAATGACAGTGCAGTGATTTCTGGTGCATCACAAGTTGTCTAATTTAAAATATTATGTACTTGAAGACAGCATATGGGGACACCCTGCTTGTGATCTCCCCTATCTTGGGTTGCATCCACACTGCAGAAATAATCCAGTTTGACACCAGTTTAATTGCCATGACTGAATGCTATGGAATTGTGGGAATTGTAGTTTTGTGAGGCATATAGCCTTCTTCATCAGAGCGTCCTGGTGCCACAACAAACTGCAATTCCAGAATTCCACAGCATTGTGCCAGGGCAGTTACAGCATTGTCAAAGTGGATTATTTCTGCAGTGCGGATGCAGCCTTGGTCTGCTGACTCAAAATAGGACCTTCTCAGTGGCTACATTCTCATCTGTGGAATTTCTTCTTTCAGGGGAACATGGCTGAGCATCCAAGAATTAAAAGTTAAAAGTTACTACTTAGTTGTAGGCAATAACTATAAAGAAAATTTCTACACCCAAGCTTTGGTCAAATTTTTAACAGGCTCTGGGACTTGACCATCAATATGGTGTTACGTTATTGTTCTTCTTTTACTTTTTCAATTGTTTCAATTGTTTCAAATTTCAATTGTTAGGTACAGACAGATATTTTTATGATGCAGTGTCCTGAGTTTCCTTAGGAGGAAGAGAGAGAGAGAGAGAGAAAGAAAGAAAGAAAGAAAGAAAGAAAGAAAGAAAGAAAGAAAGAAAGAAAGAAAGAAAGAAAGGCTGGAGATGTCTGAAAGAAAGCGCCATGTAACTATACAAATCCTTCAAACAGCAATGGTAACATGTGTGTTAAGAAATTATTGAAGGTTACATTCACTATGTTGAGTGCCAACATGAGGAGAGGGATTTTTGGTGCTTTAGATATGGACAGCATGACATTTAAATGGGACCTGAGAGTAAAAGTTTAGAATATCGTGACAGTAACTATTAAGCTCATTGCCCAGTTTGTTTTAAAGAATGTGTTTACTGCTTCCTTCATTCATGTTTCCAGGGTGATTTATGCAACAGTAATAAAAATAAAGTAGCAGTTCGAATGAATGATACCATGTGCTTGGGCAAATAGCTATGAAATCCTGAGGTCTGAGTGAGTCATCTCAGATGCTCAAAAGCTACTAGATATATAGCTAAAGCTTGCTGATAAGTAGCCCATTTAACATAAGCGAACAATTATGCTTAGTCAAGAGGACAACTCCTGTCAACAGTGAAAATTTTTTCCAGCTTGTCTTTACCTCATAAAATTAGGCACCCACTGCTTTAATTTCTATTAGCTAACCAACTAAAAAAACCAATCTGTCACACTGCATTTGGCAAGAGGATTCTGTTAAAAGAGAAACTTTTTAAAGGTACAATAAAAATAGTGTGTGCTTCGACCTCACAACCATGGATCAAGCTTCAGAAGCCATGCAATACCCTCAATTGTTTCATTCGACCTGTAATTCACTTTTCCTTTACTGATGTGTATTTGCTGTATTTATTTTATTGATTGAATATGCTGTATTGTAGAAAGCATGTATGAGCATCACTGTGCTGCAGCAAAGGGAGTGCTGTGCCAGAACTTGGAAATGTTGCTTTTTTGGATTCTGACATCCAGACTCTCCCACTTTTTCCCCCTTCTTAAGATCCCTGAAACTGTCTTGCCAGTTATTTTCTATAGGTGCCAGATCTCTGTGGGAGTGAGCAGGTATAAATTCATGGAAATAATCCAACCAGAATCATCATGGTGAGAGGTCAGAGTTTATGCACATTCTGTGTGCATACATGTTTGCAGTGGTAGCCAAGAAGACACAGCAGCAGTGCAAGCCTTGTATTGCTGTAATTCCCATCCCATGGGCTAAACTCACATCTTTGTACAGTGTGCGCGCATGTGTATGTAGTTTAAGAAAGGGTCACTTTTAATGTGAAAAACAGCGCTTGGAAGTTTGCTTTGTTGGATTATAGCTCCCAACATCTCATCTTAGCAGGTATATTAGCCCACAGCTTGGAAGAGTCTGTGTATATCTATGTGTGCATGCATGCACAGAAAGCAAAGGCTGGGAACATTCATCTTTTTGCAAGTGTCCGCACTTCTGCCTTAACTGCGAGACAGCTAGACATTCACGTGAATTTCTGTGCATTAAGGCTGTAGGATTGTGGTGCCTCTATATAAGATTAGGCTATCTCCTGTGCCTTGACAGTGGTAAAAGTAACAAAAAAAATTCCACTACAGTAAGATGTAATATGCAGGCAATCATCCTTCAGTTTCTGTTGTGCTTTGTTACATATGTGTTACCAATGCAGTCATCCATAAGTTTTCATAATGTTATGATTGGATGCAATGTGACAGTGCAGCTATGTAGTCTGGAAGTGAGGCTCTTGAGAAAAGAATTGTTGAAATTATTTGAACAGAGACTGCTCTGACGGTAGCCAGCACAAGAAGCTTAAATGGGCTGTGGATAACTTTGTGGGCAATTCTTTGTCAAGTCTTATTATCAGCAACAAAATCTGACCATATCTGTTCTGAAGTAAATGCTATTGAATTCTGTTTGACATAGTCCTTAGACCAAGCCATACTGTCTTTAATGCTGCAGTCTTTCCATTTAACATCTCCACAATGCTTGGCATCCCAGTTCCAGAGCCCTTCTAGTGACTGACATAGTCTGAGAGCATTTTTTGACAGAAGCAAACAAGCTAGATTAAATGTTCCCTACTCATGTTTCTTTCCAGCCAGTGTAGTATAGTAGTTTGAGTGCTGGACTACAACTCTGAAGACCAGGGTTCAAATCCCTGCCCAGCCATGGAAACTCACTGATGACCTTGGGAAAGTGACACTCTCTCAGCTTCAGAGGGAGGCAAAAGCAAACCCCTTCTGAACAAATCTTGCTAAGAAAACCCTATGACAGAGTTGCCTTAGGGTCACTGTATGACAGAACATCTTTTTTTATTATTATTATTAAGTTTTACACAAACAAAACATAAAAATACATTACATAATAATTTACAATAGACAAAAACATACAACCTAACCACTTAAACTAGACATAAATTACTAAACTTACTAAACCTAACTTTAAATAAAAAACTTCTCATCCTTTGTCTCAGTTATTGAAGTATTATACTCTGACTTTCATTAAATACACATACTTTCATGTTGTTTACCATTATCTCATCCAATGCACTAACATTGCTATAATATTTGTGATACCAATTTGTTAATTCCCTTATAATCATCATGTTCAATTATATTTCATTCCCTTATATCTCCAACACTAAACAGTATTGATACCCTTGATTATAACATAATTAACTGTATTTATATTGTTAACCTCTTCTTTGAATGTTATCAGTTTTTTATTATGACCATATCTTTGCCAAATAATCATTAACCGGTAGCCATTCTCTTTTATACTTTTCCGTTGTTTGATTTCTTAAAGCACATGTTAATTTGTCTAATTCCATCATGTCATATAGTATGATTTGCCATTCTCTTATCTGTGATTCTGCTTGGTTTTTCCATTTTTTTGCATATACCGCTCTTGCGGCCGACAACATAGAAAAGATATTTTTTCCATATTTTTTCTCTAATTCATTGTTTAACATACCAAGCAGAAATATTGTGGGTTCCAATTCCATTCTTACTGTTATGATTTTAGTAATGTCATTCTGAATTTGTGTCCAATATTTTTTGACCCTATCACAGTTCCACCACATATGTATCTTTTTCTTTATCACAATGCCAACACAAATCTTTTTAGATTTATATATCTTTGATATTTTTTCTGGTGTCAGATACTATTTAAATTGCATCTTATAATAGTTTTCTTTAATTTCCTGATTTAATGTATGCTTTATTCTTTTTATCCAATTTCTTTCCCAATCCTCTAACATAATATGTTTGTTAATTTCCTGTGGCCAGGATACCATAAATTGTTTGATTGTTTCTTCCTCCATATTTCTTTCTAATAAAACTTTATATATTTTGGATATAATATGTTGTGTCTCTTTTGTCAATATTTTTCCTAATTGGTTTTCCTCTTTTTCTATTTGATATAGCTTGATATCCGTTTTGAATCTCTCCCAAATCTGTCTGTATAAAAACCAGTTGCAACTCATTTTTTCTGCCTTTAATTCTTCCACTGATTTCATTTTGCATTGGTTGTTGTCCAATTTTAAAAGATCATTATAAGATACCCATTGGTCTTTTATCATTCTTTCATGCCTATAAAATGCTTCATTGACAGATGTCCATTTGGGTATTTCCAGCATGAACATTGCTTTATCCCCACCTTTTCCTCTTTTTCTTTAAGGATTGTACTTGCTACTTTGTTACTTTGTTACTTTTGTTGATTCAACTTTACTGGCTTGTTACTTTTGTTTCTTTATTAGTTTATTGCTTTTCACTGTTTTTGTATGTATCTGATCAGGCTGCCGCCTCTCGTCCACCCAATCTCTTCTGTTTAGCTTTAATCTGATAAAGAAAATTTTTGTTTTAGAGAATAAATCAATTAATATTGTTGCTGATGAATCTAATTTGTTGAAAGTATCAGTCCCAAGAACAAAGGTTTTCAGGATTACTGTGGATTACATGTTTCTTATTTTTAGTTGGTGGCGTCTGTGAGCCAATAACGGCGGCGCAAAGGCAGCCGTGTATAGTTCTTCGGTCCCCTCCGCTCCTTAGCCTCAGATAAATTTGTTGTTGTCCTGAGCAGGCATTTGACCTCAATAGAACACCTCTGATTCCTCTATACCAAGAGGACAATTTGAAGCAATTTCTCCGACCGGAGAAGTCCTTCGCTGCTACCTAAGGCAAGTGGGTTTCAGCAGTCAATCTGAAACACCACTCAATTAGATGCCATCACAACCGGAAGTCCCACTGTATGACAGAACATCTTGAGGAATGGGTCTCCTCTAATGAGCTGGGAGTCCTAATTTTATTCATAGGAGAAGTTGTTCTTTCACAATGCAAGTAAACCTTAGTTAATGAAGCACATGTGCTCTTGGGGATTTCCTTAACATAAAATTTGGTACCAGAGGCAGAAACTATTATTTCCCTTGACTTGGAAACTATTGTTCTATTAATGTAGGTTAAGATACATTTCTAGAAGTTGGAAATGACTTAAAGGCCAACAACAACAACAATAACAAACACAGGTTTCTTAGTCAAATGAGAAGGAATGGTCCCCTCATTTCAGCTGGACATGAGGAAACTCCTTTTTTAGCTTAGGTTTCTATTTTCATTTCTAAACAGAGAAATGTTTTCTCACTTATTAAACTTTGGAGATTATCATACAAAGCATCCCTTCTGATGATGTTGTGGTTTTTTAAACACTTGAAATGTCAACGATTCTTTTCCCATAACCAACTATGAACTGATAACAGGTTGGCTATAGATCTTATTGCACTACTGTTCCTTTTACTCATTAGCTATCCAAGATTAAATAAATAAAGTCAGAACCCTTTAAATCCCATATTCCCTGCCCCAGATGAAAGGGCCATGGGGTGGATGCAGTCAGACCCCTTTAAATCCCATTTTCCCTGCCCCAATTAATAATAATAATAATAATAATAATAATAATAATAATAATAATAATAATAATAATAATAAATGTATTTATACCCCACCTATTTGGGGGTCCAATCAAGGTGGCTTGCCTCCTTAGCATTAAGAAGTCTTGATTTCACTGAGAAAGGGGGGTGTAGTCAAACCCCCTTAAATTCCCTTTCTCTCTGAATTACCCCTGAATGACCTATGGCACATACTTCAATAATGGGCTAACTACAGGACTGACAGTTATTCATGGGATTTTCCCATTCATTAAAAGCAGCAGCAGCAGCAACACATTTTGACGGGTTACCTACTGCCTAGCCATGATATGGTGCGATAAGATCCCATGATTACAATTTCAATCCCAGTTCTATCCCACCATTTAAGAAATGTGATAATCGTCTTTGACATCAGTTTCATGGACATTCTCCATTTCATCAGATGCATAATGTGCTACCTTGTTTGGCAGATTTATATGCCCATGGTTTAAGTGGATGGATTATAAGACAATTCACTGAAATGCAAGCAATACAGTATTTTGTAATTAACCTGAAGAGATTAATTTATGTAGTATGGTTTTGAAAAACAGCCCAATGTTCCTATTCAAGCCACAAGGGATAGGATGATGCATCCATGTTCAGTTATAGCATGTTGAAATCTATCTTTGACGTCCCTTTATTCAAAAATATGACAACTCTTGGTATATAATTTTTATTGGTTTTAATAAAAACAATCTACCTCACAATCAACATAAAAACATTCAGAGAAAAAAACAGAAAGAAGGTAATGATATACATATATATATATAATTAAAACTAAACTAGAATTAAAACTAAACTAGTACCATACTAAACACTATACTAAAACACTGAAACAATAAATATAAACTAATACCCTGAAAACTAAATAAAATTAAAACACCAAGTTGTTTTTGTTGTTATATTTATATCCCATTTTTTCCCTCACAATTTGGATTACAAAGTGGCTTACAAATTAAAAATCAATACAGTTAAAAACATACAAAAGTGGGCATTAAAATAGAATTAAACTACTGTATTGTAATCAAAGGACTCTGATCTTCAGCTCCACACTGAAATGAAAAACAAAAACTGATTTTAAAAAAGAATATAATGTTTCTACCATTACAGATCCATCTAAATAAACTTACTATGGTTGTTAATAACCATGTTGTTGTTAAGTGCCTTTGCGTTGGTCTTGACCCATGGCAACCCTATGGATGAGACATCTCCAGCCCCCCTCCCCCGTCCTCTACTTATCTGCCCAGCTCCTGCAAACTCATATTAATGGTTTCCTTAATAAAGTCCATCCATCTGGCATGTGGCCTTCCTCTCTTTCTACTTCCCTCCACCTTTCCTAACATTATTGTCTTTTCCAACCATTCATGCCTTCTCATAATCTGTCCAAAATATGACAGTCTACATCTTGTCATCTTGGCTTCTAGGGATATATCTCACCTGATCTGCTCTAGGACCCGTTTGTTTGTCCTTTGGCTGTCCATGGGATCCTCAGCACTCTTCTCCAGCACCACATTCTCTCAAATGCATTGATTTTCCTCCTATCTTCTTTCTTGATTCTCCAACTCTCACATGCATACATGGTAATAGAAAATACAGTGGCTTGAATGATTTTGACTTTTGTGCTGATTTGTATGTCTTTGCATTTTAGGATCTTTTCTAGTTCTTTCATAGCCACCCTCCCTATTCTTAATTTTCTCCTGATTTCCTGGCTGCAGTCCTCATTCTGATCAATGCTTGATCCCAGATATGAAAACTCTTTTACTATTTCTAATTCCTCATTGTCTAGTTTGAATGTGTGT